GAGTGAGGTGGATTAGTGCGCTTCTATTTAAGGCATATGAGTAAATAACAGCCGTCTGTTAGTAAACTTAAGACTAATTGAGCTAAAGTCAGAGTTAATCGTACCATATTTTACTTATTTCTTTAACACTACGCTGGAAAATACTTTTCATAATCCTATTATTTATTCAACCTTCTCTAGTCCTTAAGAAGTATATAGATTTTGGTTAAGCTGTTAGCGTGTAAAGATAATAAAAAAAGATTGTGTATTAATGCAGTAGTAAAATCAATTAATTAGCTTAACAATATAACTGATATACAATTATTAATTAATAACTTAAGTTATTAGTAAAAAATATCTTTTTCAAAAGCGTTGGCAAATAACTTAAATAACGTTATTGTAACCTAGTTGTTGTTTTTACATTTACTTTATTCTCCCGGTCTTGTTGTCGATGAGGCTTTATAACTCGATCCTTCTTCGCTGCCCCAACTATTTTTTCATCCCTTTACGAGGTAGAAAATATTATATAAATTGGAGAAGCCATGATCAGCTCACGGACTACCAAAATTTAACCAGGGGATGGCCTAGCGTATATGAACAATGGCATTCCGAATTAAAAGATTCGATTCTACCATCCGAATTCCAAGCATTAGATATTAACAGACTTCCACGCCACCTACGCTCTAGGTCCAAATGCAAGGTAGAACCTTTTCTGCCTATAGAAGTTGAAGGAACACCACTTGATTACAAGCGGCGCCTTTATGCCTTATATGGTTCGTCTAGCTTGGTTGATCCGTCGGAATTGTTCCCCACCAGCCGTGACATTAAATATGAGCGCCTTAAAGAAAGTCAGTTTGAAAGACCGGTTATGGAAGTAATCAATGAAAAGAAAGATGAAAAAGAAGCATTTAAGCTGAAGGTGGCTCAGACGTACGCTGATTTTTTTTATATACCTTCTTAGAATGAAAAACATACAAAGGGAAATGGAAAAGATGCCAAAGCTCATTGAAAAGCTCAATTCTCATCAAGCGGCCTTAAGGGAAAATAAAATTTTACGCGAATCTAAAAATAAAGAGCTATTAGAAGAGGTAAATAGTATTGTTTCTATCTAGCCTATAGGCTCGGGATCGTTTTGGATATCGAGTCGATATAAGAGATGAAAAGTTCCTAAAGCTGAAACAAGAGAAGTTTCAGGAAGAAATTGAAGATAAGAAAAGGATAAAAAGAGGAAAAAAGTCTGCACAACGTTGATGTAAATAAATTATCGTACCTTCGATTAACCCTTCTTAAATTATTCGATGTATGCATGGTTGGCCTTATTAATCAAGCGATTTGATAATTTAAGGCCTTAATTATGCCTTAAATCTAATTTGTAGTATGCCTGCGAATTCTTAGAACTAGAATACTTCATTTAATGCTTATTTTGGTAAAAATTAGTCTTTACTTTATATTATATATTCGTGATAATAGTAGTAATGACTCTACTTCTTAACTATCCTTGAGTTCGTTCCCCAGCTATCCTGGGTCCTTCGAGTTACCGAGATCTAATAAAGTAGGAAACTGCTGTCTATCTTTTTGTCAATTACTCGTGGCTGAAAGGTAGTAGTTAAACAGAGCCTTGTTTAATATTTATCTAGGAGGCAAATTACAGGCAGCCGAATTATTCATCGACCAAAGGTTGCTTTTAAATTCTGAGCACCGAAGCCACCATAAGTGCCTCGTTCGCAGCACATCAATGTGTGCCTGTTCTGCACTAAGAACCACGAATGACTTTATTCAATTACTCAGCGATAGTTTTTAACTGGCTTCAACTTCTTGGTGCTTTAGATAACTACAGCACCCTAAATTACATTTTGCTTAGAATATAGATCCAAATAAATTATTTGTTTTCATCATTGGGGCATCCATTTGGAGAATGTACCAATGTGTGCTATGGATTAATGGACAGTGTGAGCGCCTGAGTTTCCATTATCTTACTCCAGCATAAGTGACATTCATTGAACTGAAAGGCATGTTCTCTCTAGATCAACATCTCTCCAAAGCGCACACTGCTCCCTAGATAAATTTGGCTGAACAGTAATCCTAAGAGTATGAGGTGCTTGCCCCAGTATTACGTACGGTATATAATTTCACGGATAGCCTTGTGTATAAGTGTAATATCCTTGAGCTATGTAATAGTGGCTTAATCAGGGCTTTAGGGGCCTTTTGAAAAGTACCCAGTGGAGCGCCATACTAATTATGGCAAATTCCGGCATCAGGCTGTAGATATGGTCCAGTCTTAGACATTTAGCTAGTATAATCAATGAAAGCCACCATCTATAGCACAGACTCGTAACTCATACAAGTGACCAGTGAAGGCAATCCCCTTGACAAATTTTCTGTTCAATTATTGTGGCATCTAACTTCATGCACCGTATCCTCATCCCCAGCCCTAATTCATATAACCAATTTACCTATATTTATCTTCATTTCGCCTAATGGCTTATAAGTGACACCAAATAGGTTTAATTATGCATCAGCAATTTCAGTTCCAGATGCCATTTTCGGGGCTCCTGAATAGTCCTACTCACCAAGCTACTCCCCTCAAATTTATGAACTGTTATTTGTTGCACTTAAGAGGAAATGTCTTACACAACTCTGTCTATAATGCTTCGGTTTCAACCACTGAGTATTTGTTAGCATGATTAATCCAGAAAAAATAATAGTTTCATAGTCTTGGCGGGGTCAACTGTCAAGCCGTCCTTAATGGTATACTATTCCGACGTCCATGATCCTTCATTTATATATACACAAGTAGACCCACTAGGGTAACTTTTTGAAGCTAATCTTACATTTGCCTCTTCACTGCAATCGCCTTTTCTTGACATTCATTTATCCATCAAGATCCTCTTAGTTGCAAAGGCTCTTATAGTTCGGGTAATTTCCTTCATTAAGGCGTCCCCCTACTACCTTCTTTGCTGAAATCCGAGGCTTCACAAGTTTGCTCAAAGAGTAAGTAAAATTATCGCGTACATTGCTTCTTACAATCTTCTATTCATTAGGTTACTTTAAGCAAGGATATAAGCGGCTTGTTTTATCTCATTTTCAAGACTACTATGAGATGTATTCACCCTATTTCGTTTAAGGTGATGAAGGACTAGTCGTTGAATTTTCTCACAATGATATGAGTACAGCTGACGGTTCCATTGAATTTCGCATGGCCTAGCTTCCCCAAAAGGTGTTCTTATCCAGGCTGGACTGTTGTTTCGACATCGCCTAGGTCTTATCAACACCCCCAGTCGGAGTCGAACCATGACACTTCAATGAGTAACCTCGACATGTCTCGAGTACCCTTAGGTCACAGGGCAGATGTGAATTTTAAGGAATGCTGGGCATCTTCCCATGTTACATTCTTTGGTTGAATTTTCGGCAAAGAACAGTTATATTTGCCATGGCAATCGACTACATTACCTATTTTTCTATATATAATTAGAATTTCGGGACTACCAGTTCTTCATCACTTTAAATGAATAGGACGAATGCACTTTATATAATTAAAAAAATAATTAGCAACTTTAATTTCCTTATATGATTAAGCGTTGATGATCTGAAAAAGAGTGCAGAAATCGAAAGACAAGTTGATATATCTAGTATTCAAGAGACTACCTTTTGGGAAGACAACGGCATATGGAATTAAATGAATACGTCAGCTCTACTTATATCATTGTGGGAAGATTCAACTAACTGTCCTTCATCACTTTAAACTAAATATGATAAATCCATCTCATTCTTTGATCTCACTTTACTCTTTTTGCACCATGAGGCAAAACTTTCAATTGTATTCTCGTTGAAGCCATAGCTGGTAAAAGAAGAAAGAATTATGCTATTTTCAATCAATGGTTGCATATTCGCTATTCTTTAATTTTTATGCTCATTGTTCTCCGCTTCTCTTCGAGCTAACCGTTTTTACATTAGTTGCAGTTGATACACTAACCCCCCCCCCGAGAAATCCATTCTCTTAGCTCTGTGTGTGGTTAGTTTCTAAAGG